CACACACACACACACACACACGCACACACACACGCAAGGTCATCTTATCTCTGCCTGCAGCTGTCGACTTCCTGTAAAAATAAACAGTAGATGGGTATTTGTCTCTCTGTCACACTCGATCATTTCTTTCTTCGCATTTTTTTTGTTACGCTGCAGAGAAAAACCGCTGCTTAAAACGATTCCCTCTTCACACACCAGACATATGTAAGCATTGAGACACACAGTGAGAAAATGTTACCATTGAAAAGCAGGTTTCTTCATCCTGACACTGACCATGACAAAAACATATATTTTTCAGACTCTAAATAAGTTATTCGAGAATTGTGAATGTTCGGAGGGTTAGAGCAGGAGAGGACACACGGAGAAGCAAGATTGGTTTTATTCCGTTGAAGTGTGCTTCGGCTCAGTACACAAACTGTTTCCTCTGTACTGTAAAGCCTCAAGAGAGGGAGAGAGAGAGAAACCAGGCTATCACTGCTATGGCTCAACCCCTCAGGGGACCTCATAACTCAGTCCTATTAAGTGAAGGCAGCACTGACACACTATAATTCATCCCCCAATGACTCAAGTGTTCAAGTGTGCACAGAGGAAAATTGCTGGTCTGTGAGACAGCCTGTTCTTTTTGTTTGTTTTTACAACTTTGGGCATTAAGTGCATCTAAAAAAAGGCCCAATTGTCAAACAGCTCTTTATTGAGGTATTGTCAAACACTGACTGGCCCACTCACATCCAACAGCTTATTTTACGAGAATGCTTTAAACTTCGGCGCCTCTGAATGAATTAATGGTAAACTTGTAAGCTCATTTTCGAGGAGCAGCTTAACCAAAGTGATGCCCCCCCCCATTTAGTGTGATTGATCAGTCCAATCCAAAATGCAAATGACTCCTATTCATCTCGGTGCAGCTGCTAAATGCAAAAAAGTATGATTGATGTGAGTTAAGGGACTGCAGTGGGAGGTGCAAGGACACGGTGCGGCTGCACCAGGGTCAGCCCTAGGCACCTGGGTGATAAATCTGGACAGTTATTAAGGTGAGATATATGAGACATGACAGGTGGGATTGAACGATTCATCAATTGTGTCAGAAGTGATTAGATTGTGGTTAATTGACCTCTCGGGGACTTATCAAAGGAAAGTGGTAACCCCCGATTGGAAAAAGCTCCACACAGTCCAACATATGATAAAAAAAAAAAAAAGATCTGCCGATTTTGACGATGATCAATAAATGTGACAGATCACATTTATTGATAGTATATTTCTATATGGAGGTTTTGCATGGTGTTAAATTGAGTAGTTGTGAAATGCAATAAGCAAAATAAATGACACGCATTAGGGGCGATTAAGCCACTTTAAAATCAGAGTATGCATGAACACACGCGCAGATCTGATTAAAGCATTAAACCTAGTGACGGTGACAAGTTACTCCACACATCAACAAGTGTGTGGGAAAGTGTGTATGTGTGTGTCAGGGTTGCGCTGAGCTTTAAAAGGTCAAAGTGCACTGGCCGACTCACAGAAGACTTTCAGCATAGTGGCGGCATCTGCGACCCCGTCAGGGCCAGCGTTGACCTGGCAGTAGAAGACGAGCTCGTCAGAGGGCTGAGAGGAGGAGATGGTCAAGGTGAAGTCCTCTCCGATTGTGACGCGGCCGGTCAGAGGGGTTCCCTCGTCACTTTTTCCACTGCCACCCTGGGGGCGGAACGCCACGCGCTTCCTGGTTCCCTGCTCCTCCTGAAAGGACAGACGGAGTGAAAAAGGTGTAGGAAGAAGAGAAAGAAAAGAGGAAGATGAGAATTAATAATTTTGGAGAAAAAAGACAGGGAACCTGAAATAAGTGATAAAAAAATACTTTTGAAAGTGCCTTCCATTTTTCTTGACTTGAAATCCTTTTTGCTCAGCTTTGGAGTAAAACTAATACTCAGACGTTACTTACAATGTACCATTCGATGAGAGTGTTGCCAGATAATGGTGCTTCAGTGAACGTGCAGGGCAGTTTGGCAGTTTCTCCTTTCAACACTTCCACCTTAGGAGCAACCTTCACATTCAGAGCTGCGCAGCAAACTGGAGAGAAAAACACAGAAAAAATGGGATTAAGGACCAGAGGGATTTGTCAGAATGACAATATTTTAGTAAATAATATATATTTTTAACTTCTAGGTAACGTTTTTAGTCCACAAACACAAATTTATTCAAGCATTGGGAATATGCAATTATTAATTCCTCCATTCTGACGAGTAAAAACTTTTGATGGTATCTTCGAGTTGACATTTATTACACAAGTCCGGCATGACACACACGGTGATGTTCAATTTCACGATGTCAGGAGGAAATGAGAAGACAGAGACAGGAAGGAAAGACAAATAATAAAGTCACAATGTCTACACCCTGTCTCCACTGAACGCCAGCGTGCATGTTTAATACCTCAGGGCGCCGGGGCGTTCAAACACTGTTACGGGAAGCGGGAACAGCCGCACAGTGACCATGAGGGACTTTATCAGCACTGGCACACGCCTTTCCCTGCAGCGCCTTGGGCAGTCTGCACTCATCACTTGTCGTATACACTCATCACACACACTAGCAGCAAGAGGCTGGGGTCTGTGATTACCCCACGCTTTTAGGCAGAGTGTTGGAAACACATGTACACACACATACGTGTAATACAGTATGCATGTTGTGAGGCTCCAGAGATAACAACTGCAGGGTGATGCCAGAGGGACTGACCACACATACACAGGCTTTTTACTGCACCTTGCCCTTGACACAGAAAAACACAAATCCTTCACAGGAAAATGAATATTATCTTTACTGGAAAGTGTGCATAATCCCAGAATATTAACAACATCTTCCGCTTGAAATTTATCAGATTGGATTTACAGCAATTACAGGATTTCCAATGTCAACAGAAAGTCAAGGCAGAGGAATAACTGCACCACAACCTCCACAACTTCCAGTCCTGCAGCATTTTGTTAGTCAGAAGAGATCAGAATACTTTACTTACAGGTTTTGCTACTGTCAATGCATTTCTTTGCTGACTGAAGCATTTTTAAAGATGTTTTTGCTGAACAAGGTTTGTTTTTGAACATATAAGTGACATTTAGATCAATGACGAGTGGATTCTGCTGCAGGAGCAGTGTGTGTAGTTTCGACAGACGTCTTCACGTGGTGCTTTTGTCGATGCTCTTGGATTTGATGTGAATATTTGTGATCGCTGTGAAACAAACAGACTCCAGCTGGTTACAACCACCCATATTCCCTCAAAGGTGCATGAAGTGCAGTAAAAAAAGCTAAATAGATCCTGGGAAGCTAAAAGGCCGTCGTGACTGGCACTGTCAGTGTTCTCCATTGAATAGAGACATTAGGATGCACGCAGTGTCCTGGATCTCAATGGGAGAGAAGAGAGTGAGAGCACAGGATGAGTTCAAACTGGTTTCTGCGGTTAGAGGAGTTGCTCCCTAAACTCTCTGTACGACTTGCTATCGAGAAAAAATGTGACGAGTAGGTTATTGCATTATGAGGAGAGGAGGGGAGAGAGGAGGGGAGAGAGGAGGGGAGAGAGGAGGGAAGAGAGGGAGGGGAAGGATGGAGAGCTGGATGAAGTGATGGAGCTCCATTTCTGCTAATGAAATCACTGTAGCACATACAGCGTCATAAATCGTGTAAGGTACAGTAAGTTATGAAAATAAGGGAGTTCACTGTTGTGAGTGTGAGGCTCTGATATATGGAAACGAAGGACAACAGCAAAGGAAGGACGATGTTATTTAAGGTTAAACTGACAGATCAACTAAATCAAGTCATCAACATGGAAGGCATCAATCATCGTCTATCCACCCTCATATAGACACGTACACCCATGATGTGCTTTAAAGAAAAGATGAATGAAGGAGTGGAGCCATATTTACTGTTCAATTCAGAACTTTAACAGAGAAAACACAATAAAAATATGGGTTCATACAGAGTAAATAAGTGAAGCTTGAGAGTAAACAGCCAAAATACTTTAATACAGGAAGCTCGACAAACTAAATCAAATATGGTTAAATTTAACCTCAAATTAATATTCATACTATCAAGATCAAATCCAAGTTGCGAAGGAGCGAGCTGCAGCTCTGTATCCTGTATGGTTACATAAATTAATCATCAATTTCTGGACAACAAAATCTACACGTGAATAATTTATTCCTTGCGAGAAACTGCCAAGAGCAGAAGAGGGCCGACTTCTGGGAATCACAGTTGTTTGGAAGGCTGGTTTTTTTAATAACAGGGAGAGATGAAAGTGTGTTTGCTCGAAATGTCGAAAGCGAGATGAGAGGAGTTGAGGGACTGCAACCTTGTTATCACCCTGCTGAGGAAGAGAGGGAGCAGAGGATGGAGAGAGAGAGCGGGCGTCGAGAAGAGGTAGTGGGAAGAGCTGTCAAAAACACAAACTGTGGTTACTTCGTTTAGCGTGTGTGTGCGTGTGTGTGTTAGTGAGAGACACTCCATCAGGGGCGGATGCGGTGATTCACCACGAACCACATGGAGGTCAGGGGTCAGTCAAGCGTTGACATTTGATGAAAAAGATCTCATGTGTCTGTCCGCTCTTTTATTCTTTCACTTCCTCATCACCCACTTTTTCCACTTCCCTACACTCTATTTTTATCCTGCCTCTCTGTACTCTATTTTTTTTTCTCCATCCTTACCCAGGATCCCGCCCTCATCAAATATTATGTCCTTCCTGCTCAGAAGCTCTGGAGTGAACCAACATTAGTTTTACAAACCGAGTCTCATGTTCCGAGTTTGTAAGAGGGATGTAGCCCAGGAGAAAATCCTCCTCTGTTTCTGCGCCAACACAAACAGCGAAGCCACACGAGCAAACGCACAAGAATGTGTGAGTAAACCGAGCGCAGTGCTTTTAGGCAGCACTCAGGATTTAAGGGTCCTGTTAAGTGGTGCATGGGAAAAATACACACTCACACACCCACACATACCACATTAAATCAAGTGATTCACTGGCACATGTGGACCCTGACTCTTAACTTGGTTACTTAAGTTATTTAGGCTTTTTTTAAAACACACAAAAACTAAAATCTTCAGAGTAAACTGGTTGTGGTGGAATCTAATCAGAGAAACTAATACATGAGTGGTTATTATGGCCATGTTAATAGATTCTGAGGGAACTTGTGTATCAGTGCAGTTTTTAATGAGCCAGACTTTCTATTATAAATTGAATCAAGTAACTGCTGCTCCCACTGTTTTCTTTTAAATCACCCCATTATATACTCATCTACTTTATGCTGCTCCTCAGTTTACCAATTGCAATATCATATGGTATTAATGGTGCAAACAAGTCTAATAAAAAAATGATCAGACATGAAAGAACATGTTTTAGGGGGGATATTGTTCTTTTGGTTAATTTACTTGTCAAGGGATTTCCACATGAATAAAAAAAAAGTGGCTTTTACAATTGCCTCAGAAAAAGTGTCAGGAAAACGAGGACATACAAGTCTCAGTTGAGTTTAGTGCTAATTAGAAAATAAGCACGCTAACTAGTTGAAATGGTCAGACACACAGTAACACTAGAGCGGCTTTAGACTCTTGGGCTTAGTCCGAAACCACTCACTACCTACTAAATAGAGAGTTCGCCATTTTGTAGTGCAGTCCGAATGTTTACTGATTTTTTTATACCCACCATGCATCATGAATGGCCACTGGCTGAGCAATATACACCATCACACACAGCGCTCGCACTGAATGAAAGAAAAACAGCCGAAAGACGAGAGCATGATGTGAAAACAAATTTGGGTAATGTTGGAAAAAAATGAAAAAATAAAATATATAAAAAGCATCAGATGTGACTCAACCGACAGCAAACAGAAAAGACTTGGTATAAACTCTCCGACAATGACAAACTTGCTGACCAAGAAAAAATGACCTGATTAGTGTTTTTCTTTTAATTTTGTAGATGAGCTCACTATAAAGATTGTATACTTGCATACTTCTACATATGCATACTCATTGTAGTATGAATAGAACTGTGGGCATGTGACAGGCGCGAGTATACAACTCTCTCTTGAACTGGGAGGGGTGAATGAGGGAACCTTGGTCTTGTCACATGTTCAATTGAAATATTAATAAACTGCAGCTGATGAAGCCATATTTATTCATATGTCAGGTCAACAACTGCTTCATCGGCTGTCTGGTGACTTTTTAGCTACGCAAGTCAAACACATTCACTTCCTGTGAAAAAATAGAAACATCTGTGTGTTATTCTTGAGTCATGTTTTGACATAATGCTGAACATTTTCTTAGACATGAATCTTTCCTGAGGTGTAGTGGTCACATGCTTATCAGTCATGATGATCTGTGTGAAAGTGGTAAAATAAATCACAGAGGATGTGTGAGAGGTTTTGAATCTAGCCAGCACTTGTTTTTTAGTCTTCTGTCTGGTGTTCGGTGTAAATGCATGTGCAACACTGAGAGGAGGTTAAGGCAATGATAGTCTGAAATACATCTTTCTCTCTCTGCTTGTTGCCTCCTCCTCCTCCTCCTCATCCCTCATTTGATTTTTCTGCCTGTCTCCCCTCTCCTCCCCTCTCCCATCCCTTTTCTCTCCTTCACACACATCTTCTTGGTGTCCTTCACAATATGTTTTGGACCCGAGTGATCAATCAGGCCTCGGCTCTGTGTTTTACACACACACGGCAGCTGGACGGACAGAGACAGGCAATTAAGACATAATTAAGGAGTCTTCTGTCCAATCCAAGCCTAGAGCAGTGAGTGTGTGCGTGCGTGCAAGAGTGTTTGTGCATTTAGAGGCACAGTCTGTTCTGCTTTCAGTGCGTGCACGTGTGTGTGTGTGTGTGTGTGACAGACAGACAGACAAAGAAAGAGAGTGGTGGGGGCAGCTACATGGGGGTCTCGTTAGCTGACGCAGGCTGGCTAATCGGATTTAGCCAAAGAGAGGGAAAGTGTGTGTGAGGTGGAGTGTGATGGGGTGCGTGACTGGGAAAGACAGATGGGAACGAGACGGTCTGACTGTGACCTGTATATACACACACACACACACACACACACACACACACACA